AGTTATGCTAGGGGCTAGACAGTTGGCTCATTTTCCAGGAAACATTTCCAGAAAAAAAAATTATCTTTGAATATGCAAAGAAAAGTTTAATTTCTAAAGTAAGTGAGTATATCCTAGGTACTCTAATAACAGTGAAACACACCCAACAATTATTTGCAATACTCAAGGAAATAAACATCCAACCTCGATGCTTTTAACGTAAACTTCTACACCAAAGCACGAATTGCAAGTGAGGAGGTAATTATATTTTCAGTTACATGAGAAGAGAGGACATTCATTCTTCAGTGACTTCAGAGTCAGCACCGAGAAGGAAGACGACTTGATAACCAAGACCAGCAGAGAGCCACATGGCTGGGAGACAGCCTGCCTGGGAAGCCATCACTCACAGTGGAGCAGTTGGTCCCACATAAACAGGAAATTTGAAGCCCTAAATATTTTGATTCAGCCTTGTTTAAAATTATTGGTGAGACTGTATGTTATGAGGCTAAATGGTATTTAAGCTACATGCATGTAGGCAGAAAATAATTGTTGACACAACCTTTCATTTGAAAAACAGAGAAGTTGGGATTTTTACGTAGAGAAATGAAAGGTTGAGCCGGCAAGGTGGAGTCTATTTAACTTAGGCTTAGTTGGCACCTTGTCATTAGGAAAATTGAGTTTTATCTACTCACTTTACCAAAAATGTTCCCAGTGCACTGCAAATAATCATCTCGATGGACTGTGATCTGTGACCTGTGGCCTATGACCTAGGCCTATTTTTATAATATTTTCCCTTTAAAAAACTCTTTTGGTGTTTGTAAGATTTTGTGTGTGTACATGTCTGTGTATCGTGTATGTGTTTGTGTGAAGACGTGCATGCAGATATGTATGTACGTGTGTGGAAGCCAGAAGCTGATGTCAGTGTCTCCCTCTGGAGCTCTCTAGACAGGGTCTCTCGCTGAACCCAGAACTCACTGACTGACTAGACTGTTGAGGCCACCAGCTCTGGGGATCTGCCTGTCTCCATCTCACCCACCCACTCCCGGTCTAGGGTTTCAGGTGTGTGCCATCACACCTGCCTTTTATGTGGGCACTGGGGATCTGACCTCAGGTCCTCATACTGCGTGACAAACACTTAACTGGCTGAACCTTCTCCCCGCCCGTCCTCTATAACGTTTTGTCCTTAAACACTGAATTTCTTCACCAATCTTGTGATAATTACCTCATCAATAATGTTTCTTTATAGATCTTGTTATAATTAACCTAACTATAAACTTTAAATTCCCCCCCCAAATAAAAAAAAACATGTTTGTAGGTTTTCCTAGTCAAATATATTACAAATAAAATGGAATTTAAAGCAAATTTCTTTTTAAAATGGAAAATCCCACCCATTGTAGCTCAAAACAACAAAAGTTTTTGTTGGTAAAAACAAAGGAGTGTACTATGGAAAAGCCAGAATCACAGAAGATAATATTAGCAGAAATTAAAGGGAAAATGCAATTCTATTAGAGAATCATGGTCCATTTATGAAGCAAGCTAAAATGTAGGCTGATTGCAAATACACACACACACACACACACACACACACACACACACACCTCAGAAGTGGACTCAGATGTTCACTATTGGGTGAGACAGGTGTAACACTGGGTCCAAAAAGAGGGGAAAAAACATCAAGTATAATACTTAACTCCATAAAGTGTACACCATCATATCATAAATAAATAAATACACTTTAGTGCAAATTACAGAATAAACCCACACAGGAAGCACTCTAAAGCTAAATTGGAATTGCAGATTCCAAAATTGGTATTATAGGCTTAAAGGTATAACTGATAGGACATAGGAAGAAAAAAACAAGCCCTCCAAAATAGCGATAAAGAAGAATAATATTAGATACAAATACACAGTGCAAACAGAATAATGAAAAGACTCCCAAGAGCAGAGCTCTAGCCAGTGACACTTGTGTGCCACTCACAGCTCAGAAATGTCTTTCAGAACTCAACCATAGGTGTGAACGAGTCTCCAGAAAAGAGAGGCCAAGAAGGAAGAAACACAGAGACACCAAGATGTTGAGATCTCACTTTACCTAACATCTTTAGAGGGAGTCAAGAAGATATTTAACCTTAAAATAAAAAAGGATTTAAACCATAAATGTGCGAGCAAAACAAAGACCTTATAAATATTACAAGGTGAATTCTAAAATAAAATAATTTAATTTAAAATGTAAAGAATAAAATTGAATAAATCACCCAGAAAATATTATGAAAACATTAAAACTGAAGAAATAAGGGAGGGAACGGAAATAAGATCCAAAGAAAATCAACCTAATGAGAAAGGGGAACTCAGAGGAAGAATTATAAAAGGAACAATAAATTTGCCAGAGCTGAAGAGCACAAAAAAATTGATAAAATGATTTACCTAAGTTGGCTTAAATAAGCAAAAAAAATCTTCACTTAGGAATGCCATTGTGCCTTTTCAAAACACCAAGGTTAAAGACAAAAGTCCAAGAAACTTACAGAGGGAAACAAAAAAGATTGTCTAGCAGAGAAAACAAAATAGAAAAAGTTTCTGTGTGTGTGTGTGTGTGTGTGTGTGTGTGTGTGTGTGTCTGACTTATTGGTTATATCTATTTGTGTATGAGTGTTTTGCCTGTATGTATTTCTCTGCATACTATATATGCCTGATGCCCACAGAGGTCAGAAGAAGGGGTCAGACTCCCTGGAACTGGAATTACAGGTGGTTGTGAGTCACCATATAAGTGCTGGGAACTAAACCCAGGTCCTCTTCAAGATCAATAAGTGCTCTTTAACTGCTGAAACATCTCCCATCCCTGAAATATTCTTGTTTAAGAGGCCTGGGGTTACACAATGAAAATAACATAAAGAATAAAACCCGATTATTCTATAATTCAGGCTTTATGGTAAACAAAGCTTACATAGGAACTATGCACTCTGGAACATGAGGTTTTCACAACTCACAGAAAACACGCAGGCTTACAGAGAAGAGTATGACTATCAACCTTGACACAGAAAATTAGGAGGGGACAGGTGGGAGGTAGCATGTGGCAGGAAATACAGAATCAGGAGAGGACAAGAATACCCTCATCTTTGAAGCTCATACTCAAGAGGTTCAGTTGACAGCAGATGGATCAAGAAAGACAGATTGGAGAAAAAGACATCTGTCATCAGAAGAAGGAAGGGGAAGATGAGGTTAGAAAGAAACCGCTCCTGTTCATCACAGCAGGGACTCAGGAGATTGTGTCTAGTGTCAATGAGTCAAGATTTGAAACTGGAGGGAGCAGAGAGCTAGATGAGTCAGTGAGACGCTTGCTGCCTTGTGAGCCAGAGGACTGCAGCCCCATCCCAGAGACAGAGACAGGTGCACCTCAGGGCTTGCTGGTCAACCAGCCTAGCCAGCTCTCAAGCTCCAGCCCACTGAGAGACACAGTCTAAAAAGAAAAAAAAAGGGTAGACAATACCCGAGGAACACCAATCAAGGTAGCCCTCTAACACACACACACACACACACACACACACACACACACACACACACCAGACACATCCACCTGCAAATTCATGTGTACACACATACAAAGAAAAATTTTTTTTAAAAAAATGTGGAACTATATGTATATTGGAGGAATGAAGATAAACACTCAAAAAGAAATAAAGTGGGGATTCCACAAATAAGGGCAGGAAGCAGAAGCTGTGGCTGTTTCTGATTTTCTTTGAATATTCTCTCCTGACACAGCCACGGTTAGCAATATGACAAGCAGCTGGGGTTAGAAAAACTCTTTAAAGAGCAAATCAAATAGTTACCTGACAAGACGGCGGAGAGAATCATTGAAAGAAGCCGCCCAGAATAGTTCCCTGGAGCTGACCCTGGGCTGTCAGCTGCGGAGGAGAGGGGAATACCTGCTGCATCAGGTAGATGGGTGGAAGGTCTGACGGGGCTCAATTAGCCTTGCACCCACTGTGCCCCCAAACTAACCTGTACGGTGCCTCAAAAGATTTATAGTAATCTGCATAATTCCCAGTGTTTGAAAATACTATTTAAAGAAATGCCAAACAAATCTGCAACCAATAGTGAAAAATCCATTATGCACGTTATTTAATTAAAAAAGACATTGCATGCAAAGGATGTGTGGTACAGGGCTCCCAGCTCAAGGGAAATCAATCAGCAGGAAGGGATACAGAAACCACGAAACAATGTGATTAAGCAGGCGGGATTAGAGAGGTGTCACACATACAGTCTGTGTGCTCAAGAAAGCAAAAGAAAACAAGGCCATGAAGTGGAGAAAGACTCCAGTATAGCTTTTAGAAATAAGTTCTGTGCAAAGCAAGCTACCATGCTATTCACATAAGATCAAACACGTGAAAACAAGACGAAAGAGAGTCCAGGCATCATGCCACACTCGTGTGTAAGGTCAATTGATTTTCAACAAGATTCCAAGCCATTCCATGAGCAACAGCTAGTTTTCATCAGTAGCACTAAAATGATTATAAAGCTCAATGTAAAAATGGCTCTGAGCCTTCTCCTTAGACCCCAAATTGACATTCAGTGAACTATAGATCTCAAGTTAAAAACTGAAATTATGCAAGAAAATATGAGAAAACCTCTGTGCTCTTGATTTAGGGGGAAAAGTCTTCACTACAATACAAGAAAGTACAACTCATAAAAGAAAAAGATGATAAATAATTTTCTTCAAAGTTACATTTTTATCCTTTGAAGCACCATATTAAGAATGGGGAAAAGACAAGCAGTAGGCTTAGAGAGCTTATTTATAAAATACATATCTTGTAGTAAACTTGTGTCCTGGACAGACAAATAATTCTTATGATTCTACCATAGAAAACAACCTATTAATAATGTTAAGATTTTCAGTAGACACTTCCTCAGAGTATATTGGATGTCAAATAGTCATATGAAAGGTATTCTACATCTTTTATCATTAGGAAAATGCCAATTAAAACCATGTGCATTACTATACACACCAAATGGACAAAATGTAAACTTACCTGCCAGTCCAAGTTCAAGCAAAGATGCTGAGCAATGACAACTCTCACATATTTTTGATCCAATATTAAGGGTGAAAACACAGTTGCACCAACAGACTTGTACAAGAATGCTGTGCACCGGGGTAATGCATAACAGCCACAGCCTGAAAACCTATTCATAACATAGATGTCCATCAACTATTGAATGAATAAGCAAACTATTGCACATCCACACAATAAAATACTATTGAGTAATAAAAATAAATGAGTGAATGGTGTTTACACAATGCCATAGGAGCAAAGGGAGCCAGACACAAAAGACAGAAAACTATTTAACTCCTTTTATGTGCAATTATCAGAAAATACAATGTAAAAACAAAAGCATATCAGCAGTCACCAAAGATGGAGGTGAAAGAAGGGCCTGGCTCTGAATGGGCACAAAGGGATGATTCTGGAATGGTAGGCAGTTTTTAGATAATGATTACAGTGGTGACTAACTGTAAACATCCACCAAGGCTGGACAGATTTTGCACTTAAAATGTGTGAATTTTATCACATGTAAATCATTCCATAGAGAAAATGATTCTGAAAGAATACAAGTGAATACCCGTGGAAACATGCCTGGGGTTAGGACCACAGCATTTCCTACCATTTAAATTTCTATACTTTTATTTCCCCGGGGATGTATGCCTTCAATTTTTTTAATGAAGAAGTAAAGAAGACCAAAGTTATCAAATTAATCTGCATCACACATTAACATGGCCAATATATTGCATTCTTTATGCCAGCAATAAAAACATGTTACCCACAAAACACCAAAGCTGTAAAGGTCTCATTGATAAACTTAAGAACACATTTGAAACCTCTTCCCTATGGAGTATCAGATATTATCAACACTTTGCCAATTTTTTTGATCTCTTATGTGTCGACAGGAAGTTAAAAGTACAGTTTTCTACACATGCGTGTGAACACACACACACACACACACACACACACACACACACACACACAAGTGGTGACCTCTGCCTCACAAAACAAGGGTGTTGTGAAGTCTGGAAACTGTTGTGGGCCCCGTGGCTCAGTGTCAGGCCCCCATTTGGTGGATTGATGGCTGTTTACAGCGATCCTTAGCTAAGTGAGCTTGGTTTACAGTAGACGCTCTGGAAGGGATGCTGACCTCATAATGAGCAGAATTCTTCGAAGTTCATTCCCATTACAACATGAGATGTAGATAAACCACACTTACTTAATGGGCTCAGATTTTAAATATTTAGTTTGTGGATGAGATGCTTGTAAGTCCCCCTTAGACATACCAGCCAATAGAGAAGGCCTAGTTTGAACTAACCAAGAATGTGTAAATTTGTTTGTCAATATTACCTCAAAACTCTGCCAAATAATGGGAGTCTGGGAGCTTATGAATCAACTCAAACAGCGTGCCGATGATCATTTAACAGACTGTGTGGGAAATTGAGTTTCCTTCAAATTTATGAACTGATGGAGTCATTCCTTCTAATGATTAACAATGAGTCATAGGAGAAACCAAGGGTCAGTCACAGGCACATGCATCTAGTGTCAGGTGTGGGGAGAGTGAGAACAGTTCAAGACGAGGGAAAGTTCTCCCGACATCTGCTGGCTAATTTTCATTTTCAGAGTGAAGACATAGACTGGAGAAAATTTCAAGGCAAATGTAGTACCTAAAAACATCCCGCAAATGGGTGCTTTGTGAAAAGGCTGGGTCACAATCCCCAAAAGATGATTATTAATACAAGAGCAATAACTTAAAGGGAGCTGCAATAATATCACAATATGTTTACCTAATTTGGAGACAGAATATAAGCATAGGGAACGTAGGGTGACGGCACACATTTCTCTAATAATTGATGCTTTTACCTGAAAAACACATCATGCACACATTCCAAGGCCCAGATGTGAAACACTTACAAAAGTATAGCAAAAGGAACTGGAGCGATTTTACAGCAGATGGCTAAATAAAAAGAAGGCACAGACGTGGAACTTATTGCCTAAAGGGGACTTTTGTAATGCATTGTAAACCATACTTCAGTAGAATAGTAGTTTGTCCAAGAGATATGGGATGAACACCTGTCTTATGCAGAGACCATGCTAAGTACATCAAACACACTCTCATTCCAACGCCATCAGAATCTGATAAGAGACACACTTGTGTTAATGTATGCCATGTTTTGTGACATGCATTTGTTACTGTGTGCCTTTTTTTGTGACACACATGTCTTACTGTATGCCACGTTTTGTACTAATGAAAACCAGACATAATAACCCACCTGAGCTTGTGTAGCTAACTCGGGGTAGAATTGGAATTCAAGTACAAGGTATTCTGACAGCTAAACCGGCAAAATATTATCAGGTGAGATTCAGTCTCTCAACATTATATATATTTAAATTCCGAGTAAATACATATAAAACAGAAATTTTAAAGATTTTCTTTTTAAACAAAAACGTGATTCTAAGAAATTCTACTTATAAACTTTCAGGTTTAATTTTTTTTTTTTGTAGTATAACCAGAAAACAAACCAATGATTATGGGTTTTTTTGGTTTGTTTGTTTGTTTTAATCGAGAAATGGTACTTATGAACATCAGCCCACCCATCATTGCTATTTATGTATTTCTGTGTCTCTCAGATACAGTTTAACCCTATATCAGACACCATGACAACATACATAAGGAATTAGTGTTCTAAAGGAAAAGATAAAATATGTGAAGTAACTAGAAATTACTTTGTTAACCGTTGTCATGTGATTCTGTCTAAATAACTGGCAGATGCAACTGTGTACAAAAAAACCCATAATATTCTCAAGTGTGGTCCAAAGAAACCTTGGAACCCCCAAAGAGGTCTCGGGAGATCTTCAAGGTCACACTCACTTCCAGCATGGTGTTTACCTCCAACTGTCATGAACTTAGCATTGTATTGCCTTCCCACTGCCCTGGGCTTGAGATAGAGACTCCCAACTGTTCCAGGCTCAGCAAGTGATTGATGCTAATAAAGACGGTAAGTAGGTGGCCTGGAACTATGTGTGGAACTCTCCAAGTTCATAAAAATGGTCGGTGCACAGCACCTTACCCAGAATTTTCAACATCTGTGGCAGGAAATGCTCTTGTCTCCACAGGAGAGCCTGCTCAGATGGATCCCCCTAGACACTGCTCCCAGACATTCTGACTCAGTAGCAGGTTTTGTGGATGTTGAAAATAACTGGTGTAGAGCTGCCATACTGCCCCCCTCTACTCTCCCAGTTCCCACCCACTCAACCGGCTGGGCTTTAGAGGGTACCCCCTTGTGTGACCTACTTTAACTTTTGAACTCCCTGGAGGCTTGTCTCCATCCTCAAAGGCTCTCCACCTGTGTACAGTTGTTTTCAAATAAGTACTTGGAACGCACGTTTGAAACATTCAGAATTAAACTTTGCTCTAGAAGTCCACACCTGAGAAGTGCAAGCTGAAGATGGATGGCTTCATCTTAACATGACTCCTAGGAAATGCAAAGGTATGTAGGTAGAACCCCTAGAATCCGGGGTTCCGAGCAAACAGCACAGAGGCTCCACCCAGCCTGCTTCAGTAGGTGAGAGAGCTGTTTAAACAGCACCATCACCTACAGTCACTGAGAACGTGCACTCGCCACCCTCCGAAGCTTCCACTGCACCCAGCACCATTCCAGAAGTCTCTGAGGACCTGTTGTCTTCACAGAGTGCTTGCCAGGATCTGACTGAATTAGGAAGTCCCCCTTGAGCTGCCCTCTAGACAGGAGAACACACAAAGGAAGTCTTCGCCTGAAATCTTAAGTAAATGAAAGTCAAGTGTGGGAAGTGGAACATTAAATGTTCCAACAGCCAAGCTGCAATATTGTGCAACCTTGAAGGTATTTAACTAAGAGCAGAAATCCCACCTTAGCACACAATAGCAATTCTGACAATGCTGAGGATTTTACCTGGAATAGCCTAACGTGTTATTTAACCCATGTTAACAAGCACTGAGGTCACACATGTCAAAAATTGGAGGCCTGATTCCTTCAGAAAAGAGAAAGGGAAGAGAGTTGTCTCAGGAAGCCAACTTTAAACAAGAGAAGTTTTAGCACACCTGCCTTTGGATGAACTATTTCTCTTAGGATTTACATTTTCATTGACAAGTCTTCTTTCCCTCCAGGCTCCTGGGAAGCTTCGGTCATTTGCATTTGACCTGCCCTCTTCATAGTTTGCTAAGGTCTGGAGTTCCCAGTTATTTCTAAACCAAGAACTTCACAAAGTCCGGCAGGTCTCAGACAAGGTTTGTTAAAAAGAGACTGGACGCCTCTGTGGACCGCACACTTCTAGGAGCATCTTCTCCATGGTCCAGTTGAGGAAATAAACAACTGTATTGTTACCATGAAAGAGGGGTGACACTTGCTGGGAGAGAGGCAAATGGACACCCCAAGGAATGAACTGTGGGAGAACTGGAAAGGTTGAAGACAGAGGGAGCCTGAGACATGAGCTTTGTAGAGCAGGCAGAGTGTGAACTTGGGTGAGGGTGCGCAGAGAAGGAAGTGCAAGGCTGTCATTACAGTTTTACCAAATGTGTCTGTCTGATAGTATCTCCAGGCAATGCAAACACAGACTACCCCAGAGTCTCCCGGGAGCCAAGTCAGCTTATTCACAGAGAAATACCCCCAAATAAAGAAATCCTGGGGAGCTTTGTGGAATCCAAGTAACATGTTTGTCTGAAAATATTATTAGAAATTTTTGTTTGTCTGTTTTTATTTTTCTCCTTTTGCTCTGGATATCTAACTTTCCAGTGTGAAACATAGGGCTCCGGGAGGGACACATTCAAATTTGTCCCTTGTTAGGAGCAAATTCTTGAAAAGAGCCATGCTGAAATGCCTAGTATTTGCATACAGATTGAAGGCGAGAAAGACATCTGCAAGCATGCCCTACCCTCTGGGACTAAAGGGAGTCATCCTGATGTACATTGCATGACCTCAGATCTTCCCCAGCTGTTTTACAGTCCATAGTTTCAATTTCCCCTCAAAAAAAAAATTGAGTATGAAAGAAAAGAGGGATGGTTTTTCAAAAAAAAAAATTGGGGTGGGGGGTGAGAAAATACAGCTAAATGTGGGAGGAAGTTGTTGGAAATGAGGCCAGTACAAAAGGAACCAGGAGGGAAGTAGAGAAGGGGAGATAAGGGCTGGATGACAAGAAGCCGTGCTGGAACAGCAGTCCCCATTGCCTGCCTTTATTGTGAAAAGTACCACGGAGTCTTGGAGATGGTTTCTCCCAGGGGCACACCCATTATCAGGACTCCAAACCATCTGTCTGGATGGCCTTTGGTATTCCTGTCCTTGTGGGAGAGAGAGAAGACAGACAGAATGCATGGGCTGGAAGAGGTGATGCATGCCAGAGGCGCCCTCGAGGATTGGAGGAAGCGGACCAGGCCAGTCTGAAGAGCCAGACACCTGTGTAAACTGCAGGAAGCTGAGAGGAGCCCAGCTGAGCCGATGGAGACACCACATGCATGCGGCAGTAGGAGGCAGAGTCATACAGAGACAAAGACACGGGGGTGCAGGCAGGTGTGTACACACACACACACACACACACACACACACAAAATCAAGAACATGAACAGAGACAGGAACTCAGAAAGGAGCAGTGAAACATAGAAGGGGAAAAATAAATGTTGAGACATGGAAAATTATCTCCCCAAAAGTTTCTTAAAAATGACTATTCTAAATTATCTCATTTTCATAGACATTTATTTTTTACTATTTTTTTTAAAAGTATAAATGACACCTTTTACTGGGTGAAGTTCTAAGCTTATTAAATTTAATAATTTGTCAAGTATCTAATGAGCCAGGAGTTCACAGGTAATTCTTACAGCTGTTTTATGAACTATCAATGGGGGCGGGGAGGGGTGAGGGATCAACCGAATCAGACTTTCAGGGCTCGAGGCTAAAACGTGGCCATCCCCACTCTGTTTAAAGGCTGCTCAGTTGCTGGCAGTGACTTGCACTTCACCAGGAGAGTGTGTTTCTAGGAAACAAACCTGGGAATTGAGGGGAATAGTCCTAGGACGCACACGACCGTAGAGGGGCCAAGAAAACTTCTTGAAATCAGAATTCTTAGAAAGTGAATTTACAATATGAAAAGAATAACTCTC